ACCTTACAGCCCAACTTCAGAAAGTTCTGTGCTCTTCCTGAATCTCATAAAGAGTGCTTTCACTTTACACTTTAATACGTCACAACGTGCTCTCTGACTGTGCACTAGCAGTGGACGTTGTGCTGCCTTCAAGGTCAAAATGTCCTACCGTAGTGAATATTTTTAGGCAGCTCCCTACACAAAACTACAGGTATGATTTTTTAAGCCTAAATGGCCTTAGAAGGGGAGTAATAATAATCTGACTCTGTACAACTGATTTAAAGTAATATTTAAGTTAGAGTCATTATGCTGTACTAATGATATGTGCATACTGAATAGGACCGCTCGATGGGTAGGATGGACTGTTAGAACACCTGGCCCTTTTCAGTGAATCAGATCACTTAAATCAACTCAACAAAAAGGCAGAATTTCCTGATAAGGTGATTCGCACTATCAAAACATTCTACCTTTAGTTTTAATGCTGGTAAAATTTTCTGATAAGGCGATGTAGGAAATCCAAATATTCTACCTATACTTTAATGTAGGAAACTGCCAATAAACATATGCTACGGTAGCACATTTCAACAAGGTGGGATAATAACAGGTGGGTCCTGTGATTTCTGCCTTCAGCATCTTGGGATCTACCAATTTATTTTGTCTTAAATTATACACCAAACAAACAAAAAACAACAGCTCAATGAATGTCACCTCCCAACATCCACCTAAAAGAGTCAACTTGCTTACAAAATACAATTCCCTACCGTGTATCTGTGTGTGTGTTTGTGGTCAGCGAGGGGATTATGAGAGGAAGTAACTGCAGTGTACAGCAGTTAATGTACAGAGCAACAAAAGTTCCCAGGTGACAAGCAGTGGGAGCTGACATTGATTGAGCAGCTGTTTTTTGTTTTATTATTATTATTATTATTATTTAATAATAACAATAATAATAATTATAATACTAATACTTTTTTATGAAATGGTGTTGATTTATCATAACTGAATGTATTAGTTTGTCTTACTGGTCACATAAACTCTTTCATGGGACCATGTAAAGTACTCTGGTAGTCATCAAAGGAGTGGCTTCAAAAGAAGAATTTAAAAGAGGCAGAGTTGAAAGCCAGAAGGGTGGAAGGTAACATGACAGAAAAACAATGGACATTAAAAAGAATGAAATGGGTGGAGTTTACTGTCTATGAGTTCAGCAACTGAGGAATGAGTTTGGTTCTATTCTGTAAGTATTCATATCAGCCTGCTATTGCTTGTTTATTGAATAACCATATAGTTACGGAAACCACACACACACACACCCCTTCTAAACCGCTTATCCTCCTGGGTCGTGGGGGCTGCTGGAGCCTATCCCAGCTGTCCCTGGGTGGAACACAGGAAACACCCAGTTGCCTGTCCATCGCAGGGCAGACAGACACACACAATCACACACACCCCCTACGGACAGTTTAGCATGTCCAATTATCCTGACTGCATGTCTTTGGACTGTGGGAGGAAACCCACCCAGATACAGGGAGAACATGCAAACTCCACACAGAAAGAAGGACCCTGGCCTCAAACCCAGGCTCTTCTTGCTTTGAGGCGACAGCGCTACCCACTGCGCCACCGTGCCACCCATGGTATGGAAACCTGAAATGCTTTTTAAGTAAATGAGCCATTTATTTGCTGTACAAAACAGTCCTTCTAATATAACGGAGTTGATTTAATTGATGCCAGTACATTAAACAAAGAAGAATATTTGACTGAAGTTCGACTAGCTAGTTCCAGAGTGAGCAGAACTTGGAACAGCAGCTCGGTGGAAACCATTTATAATTACTGGGCTGTTTGAATTAACCTGACGCACTGCCATAGTGTGGATCACTGAAAATTAGAAAATAACTTAAATAAAGTTATTTAAGCTTGAACCTGTTAAGTAACTTTACTTATTGTTTTGAGGCAAAAGGGTTGCATGATTTTTTTAACTAATTTAAGTGTACAGTAACTGTAATACAGTATCAAGCATTATATTTGGTTTAGCTAAACTTTTTAACTTTAACTTTTATTTACAATTTCTGCAGTTTTTTTTCACATGTTTTCTCTTTGAAAGACAGACCTATAGAGATAAAGAAGGGACATATGTTGGGACATACATCATACGTTGTGCTTACCAGTGATTCTCTCTGCCCTGCAACCTGATAATTATAAAAATAACTCTTTTTGTTTTCTTAATCAAACACATCTGTAACTAACCAGCATTAGTCAATTATCCAGCTCTTCCTGATGTTTTTAGAGTGGAGAAAACCAGAACATAAAACTGTGCACTCATGCAGAAAGATTTATTTTGCACAGAAATCTGTATGGACAGTATTGAAACCTTAGCTTCTTAGTGTCATTTATTTCATTTCAAAGTCTCAGTTTCATTTATGTGGAATACTATAAAGTTTAGAGTTTAATAGAGTTTAAATGAAACTCATTATGTTTTGAATTGGTGTATTATTCTCATATCTGATCTCCAGTAGGTGGCAGTGTTTATCTAAGATTAGTTTGGTCATGAGGAGGAGACTGTTGAACATCACTGATTCATACCAGAGAAGCTGAAGCACCTAACGCATGTAACACTAAGTAGAGGGACAGTGTTAGCAAAACGAGGAAAAAGTATTTATTTCACTTTTGTCTGTAATCTAATCTGAGTTCAGACACTATTCAGTTCTTCATGCAGTTCTGAATGATCAAATCCTGCAAAACTTGATACAATATGTAAGGCTGTTATTGTGGGTTATGTTCAGTCTTTGTCAAGACTAAGGAATTTCTGACTGCCAGGGGTTTCTAACTGCCAGGAGTCCCTACCTGCCAGGCACTCTGACTGCCAGGAGCTCTAGCTGCCAGGGGCCTCTGACTGCCAGGAGCTCTGACTGCCAGGGGCCTCTGACTGCCAGGAGTCTCTAACTGCCAGGAGCTCTGACTGCCAGGGGCCGCTGAATGCCAGGAGCTCTGACTGCCAGGGGTCTCTGACTGCCAGGAGTTTTGACTGGCGTTTTGACTGCCAGGGGTCTCTGAATGCCAGGCGTTTTGACTGCCAAGGGTCTCTGACTGCCAGGAGCTCTGACTGCCAGGGATCTCTGACTGCCAGGGGCCTTTAACTGCCAGGGGCCTCTGACTGCCAGGCACTCTCACTGCCAGGAGTTTCTGACTGCCAGGCACTCTGACTGCCAGGAGCTCTGACTACTAGGGGCCTCTGACTGCCAGGGGCCTCTGACTGCCAGGCGCTCTAATTGCCAGGGGCCTCTGATTACTAGAGGTCTCTGATTGCCAGGGTTCTCTGAGGGCCAAATATTTTTGACAACCCACTACAACAGTAAACACAAGATGAACAAATGGCCTTTGGACAAATGACTAAAGTTACTAAAGTTTAAAAAGAGAACAACTCTATTAAAATCTTACCCCAAAATCTTCCAATTTTACACAAAAATCTTCAGATCAAAACACAAAACATAAGTGAAAGCTGAATGTCTCCATCTCATTTGCAATGCCTTTAACTTACGTGCTGGAAGGTTTCCCATGAGAATAACTTAAATTTAATACATTTTTATGAGCTGCAGTGTAACTCTTATCTGTGATGTCCAGTAGATGGCAGCACTTCATACAGACACAGCCAGAGAACATTTCTCCCTTCTCTATTATTCACTTCAGTCTGTTACTCAAATTGTTGATGAATGTTATTGGATGTCTTTTATCAGCTGCACAAGCAAAATGCTTCAGCTGTCATTTACATTTCAGATTATTTAAAACTTTAGAGCATTATTTCCAAGAAGCTCCAAATTTCAGAGAATGTGGATGACACCGGCATTGTAGAGAAGTGACTAAAACATCAATGACAAACCTGTTAGAAGTGAAGTAAATGGTAAGTGTTTTGGAAAGAAATAATCATGGTACTGTTGCATGAAACTAACTCAAACTTAGTTCAGTCAAAAGTTCTTCCAATTTACATTTTTAATACTGCATCTCATTTAGGTAAACAATACATTTAAACTAAAGAATTCACCTTAGAATAGTTCAAAAGTTGCCTTAGAATTTGTATTTGACTGAATACAAGAGGTTTAAAGAGCCTTCCCATAGCTTAACAGCTCTGTAACGATTTAAGTGTTCATCCTAGAGCCTTTATTAAATTATGTTAAGGTTCTTTCAACTTCAAAAGGGTTCTTCACATTCACACATCTCATTTTCAGAACTATTCATTTTATGTTAGCTGGCATGTCAAACTTGGTTCCTTCCAGGCTACAGCTCTGTGGATATGAGCATTCCCATCTGACACTCTGAATTCAGCTGATGAAGGTTAAATGCTAATTGAGTTGAATCAGGAGTGCATAATGAGGCAGACCGCTGAAGTCTACAGAGCTGCAACCCACAAAGACTGGAGTCCCAAAGCATGTTCTGTTTCACTAAGAAGTCTTTGGTACCTTTACTTTTAAGAGTATGGGGATGTGTACAGATGTTATCTTACAGATGTCACAGATGCACTGGATGTTCTGTATAGTGGAGCATGTGCTTTAAGCCTATATAGCTGATTTATGAAACTATATGGAGAAAAAAAAATTTAGAAGTATCTCAGACATTACCAACTATTTTTCAAACAAGGATAACAGCAGACAGCAGTACCTCTACCGTCTTCATTTAATACAGCAGCACTATAGAGAAAATTGCAGTTCAACTCTTTAACCCATATCTCAATTGTGCCAGTTTACAAGCACAAACTGAATGATAATTCAAAACGAGTCTGGCCCAAATTTGGCAGGGTGTCTCCTGTGCACACGCAGAGATACTAAAGAAAGAAAGAAAAATAAAAGAAATGAAACAGTTGCATTCCTAAATCGGGCCATAACAAAAACCTTTAAACTAAATAAACCACTGAGTTATTTGTGGTGTGTCCTCAAAACAATTGTTGCTCAAAAACAATGAATATAACTCAGTACAAACCAACGTAACAAAAAGTTTGTACCAAACCAAAATTCAGGACACAAAGACAAAAAGAGAAAATATGCAAATAAGAAGCTGATGTTTTATTGCTTTTATATTTATACTTTTGAATAATATAGAATCACTACAAGCTATTGAAGAAATTACATATTTTATGGATAAAGTCAGCCCTTTCAATAGGACATAACTGACAATAAATAAAAACATTTAACATTTTAACAATTAACATTCTTTTATGAAATTATACAGTAGGTACAGCATATGCCAACAGAATCTACCGTCCTCAAAATTGGTTGGTCATCTAAGGCAATGAATTTTTCATGATCTTTTTAGTTATTCTTTATACTTTTGCACTGACATTTTCATCATTTTTGAATCTACAGACGGCCCTGGCATGCTCTTTTCTGCCTCTGTTGTTTTGCTGTTGTTCTGCATATCAGCTGGAGGCCATGTTTCTAATTTTATTTACCATTAAAATTGTTTGTACAATATTGGATTATGACACTTTATTGTATGCTTTTCATCTTTGAGGGGTTCTGAGTCAAAAATTCAACCTTCTTTTTGTTTTGGCCCAAAATTTTCAGCTGCCGAATAATAGATACATCTCCAAACTCAATGGGTCCAATGCATATTGTTCCCACTTTCTTTGTCTTGTTAGTTTGGATGTTTTCAGAGGCTGGGGGTGAGGACAGTTGGATTTGGACTTTTCAGGCTAGAAGGTGGACAGAAAAATGTCTACTCACTAAAACAGTCTGTGCTCAGCTACAGGAACACCACAGCATAGTGATGGGCCAGTCTGAACACAGCGTAGACAGGCTCTGTGAACCTCATATGGAACTTGTATATGTGGTGTTAACCCTGTAGAAAGACAGAGTGCCAACTGGCCAGCCCAGATACACAGCTATCATCTCAGAAATTAAGTTGTTCTCTGGTGTTTTTCTGAGGTCAGTTTTCTTGCCACTGTGCAAAGCACTGTAGTTGTAATTGGAGCAGTGTAGACTCCAGGATTTATCATTGTGACCTGCCAAAAGAGACTTGTCTCTCCAGTCCTGCTGATTCCTCCATTTGTGACCCCTATATTTACCCCAAACACGCTCCCACTCCACTTAACCAATCTTCCAAAACATCACTTAAGTACAGTAATACAGTTTAATAATACAGTACAATTACTCAAGTATTGTCCACTCCTGCTACACAGACTCCATCAAATAATCCAACAGGAGAAACAGTGGTTGCTATGAAGAGGTAGGCTTTTAGAATTTTGTGGGCTTACTTGTTTGATCTGGTGAGCTGTATATGTTCGTCTCTCTGAGTCTGCCTCACTCTCAGGTACTCCAGACAGATCATTATTTTAAGTTCTTTTTCTCCTGATAAAAGAACATTCTTCCAATACTGCTGCAGTAACCTTCACTTTTGACTAGGCTTCTGTCAAGTGCCACAGAAACTTAACTGTTTTAAATGCTTTGGTATTTTAAAATACCAAAGCAACATGTAAACATTTACTTTTTCAAATTTAAATCTGAAGACTGCAACATTTTGAACTAAATATAAAAGCAGTAGTATCAAGCCATTTAAAATCCATCAGGTTAAATTCATGATCACAAAAATATACACGCTAAGCTGGGCTCCCTTTGTAATCAAACATGCAACAGGGTACTGGTGGTACTCAGAAAAGCAATATTGTGACATATTGTGTCATAATTTATCACGATAACGATAAATACTGTCATATTCCAAGGCCCATATGACATCATCACCCGAGGCAGCTGGAATTCAGATGCTCTCAAGATTCCACCATCCTAATTTATGAGCGAATTAGTCAAATTTAAAAAATTCTGATTTTAAAAAGTACAGAAATTATAAAAATAAAGAAATTGATAGTTCTCATGAAAATGACCTCCATGTTTGAACACAGTCTGCATGTTAAACGTTGTTGCTGTTCATTTTGTTAGAAAGAGGAAAGAATAATCTAGATGATAATACAGGTCTTGTATTACCTTGTAATCACTGTAATTAATCCATCTGGCATAAAAACAATGAGCCGAATTCCACACAGAAGCCAGGATACAGAGGCTTCCGAAAGGTAGTTTGGAACGTGTGCAGGCGGGACAGTGTGGAAGTATCAGAAGAGACGCTGTAGAAAGACAGAACACCAGCCTGCCAGTCCAGAAACACGCCTATTCTGCCTGACCTTGAGACAGTAGCACGTATGTCCGTGTACTGTGAATCGTGGCGGGCATGGTAGCCAGTTGTACTGTAGCCGAGACTCCAAGACACTTCATTCATTCCAAGCTGAGTTTTAGCTGCCTGCCAAGCAATGTCATCATCATCTTTCCTTAGTATTTGATGGTAGGTCACACCTATTTCAGGGCTTGAATCTTTGAACTCAACCTCCCAATAACAGCGATCGGACAGACCCTCCTCACACAGCACTTGTGGAAATTCTTCGAACCTGTCCAGATGATCTGGATAATCTTGCTTCTCGTCCACATGTGTCACCTTCATGTTGGCCTCAGACAGATAGAGTTGTTTGTGTGCTGTGTTTGGATCCAGTGTGAGCCTACAGGCATCTGCAAGAGAGAAATGGGTTTATTACTCTCATATTATTTATATCTCTCTATGTCAAATATTATTATTGTAATAGAGGAGAGAGAAAGTGAGAGGGAGAGCACAGGAGAACTTACACTTTTTGACCCCTGGTTTGATGAAGTGTTCACCTTTTGGGTCCATCCTGAAACAAAGAATTATAGAGCATAATGTGAAAAATGTAAACTGACTTTTTCCTCACTTATTAGTAAGGAAAAACACTGCACCTGATTAATGTACAGTTATCTCAAATACACCACTAACCTTAATAAAAGTTTATAGTGTGGGTCCTCCACTCTAGCGGACAGCAGGTTCTCTCCTGACTCTCCTGGGTGATTATAGCTGAGATCCAGCTCTCTCAGGTGGGTGGGGTTAGAATTCAGAGCTGAGGCTAGAAAAGAACATCCTTCCTCTGTAATCATACACCCAGATAACCTGCAGGAAATAAGCAAAAACAAAATGCCATTCATCATCTATCTATTGGTCAGTATTTTTTTTGCCCACTGGATCATGAGGACATAATCAAAAATGAGAAAAAGTAAAAGCAAAAGTCATTACATTTTGATAAAAAAATACTTTATTGAATTGAAGACTTATTGACTTGACTTATTGACTTATTGACTTATTGCCTTGAACGGCACAGATATGTAGAGAGAAAGAAAGAAAGCAGGCCAAACACAACATGAGGACTCTTTACTATTAAAATGTGATTTTGTGGTGTAAAGGGTCTAGTGCCATTTTGCCTTATGTCACGCTAATGGTCCTCAAAACCATACATACAATTGTTGTCCAATTATTAGGTATATATACATTTCAGAATATGTGTAGGAACAGAGCTTCATAAAGTTGAAGATGCTTGTTTTGTAGTCTAAAAAGCATCTGTTTCTGCTATTCAGGTCATATAACCATTCTTTACGAAGGACAAAAGTGGGCAGCACTTTTATTTTTAAGAAATATATTTTAATGTATATCATGATCTCATTTCTAATGGTTCAAATAATACACAGTAACATGCAATGTTTAATTCAATACCACTTTTCCAAAAATATATTTCTCTGACATGAGTGCAGCTGATTTGTTTTAGGGCATGAAAAGGCATAATTAAACACAATGAATTTGGTCTAAGCCAGGGATGCTCACTCCTGGTCCTGGAGATCTAACACCCTGCAGAGTTTAGCTCCAACCTTAAACTAACATACTTGTTTCAGGTATTGAAGGTTTCACGAACATCTATTGGATTTGAAATCTCCAGGGAGGTAGATTTCCAGGACCAGGATTGGACACGCCATGTCAAAGCAAAACTCATCACTGACCTCAGTATCTCCAATCTACACTTTGGATACTCCAATCCAGCAGAGAGCAGTTTTATTCCTGTGTTCTGCAAGTCATTGTTACTCAGGTCCAGCTCTCTTAGATTTGACTCTGTGCTAGTCTTAAGAAATGAGGAGAGGAACTCACAGCTCTTCTCAGTGAGGTTACACCAGCCCAGCCTAGATTGGAAACATTGCAAAACTCAGTTATAGAAATCACATATGGAAGTTTCAGAAATCTATAAGGATATAAGTGAATCATAATTCAAGACACACAATGCTGGCATGGATTCCTCCTGGGACTTAATAATGTTCTGGGCTGAGATAAGAGAAGATTTAAAATGACAATATGGCTGGGGCTTCTGAGTGGTGGAAATGTCTAAGTATTGAACTTATCACTCTTAGATGTCTATCAAACAGACTAGTATATTGTAATGTTAACAGTGGAAGCTGAGCATAACTCAGTTTAACCAAAGCTAAACTTGCACAATTAATAGTAATTAAAGAGACAGAGTAACATAAATTTTCAATTGAATATTTTAAATCTCAATCAACTTGTGTTCCTTAGTTTATTCAACACTCCCTTTGCTATCAAAAAAATGTAGGCCCAAACTGAGCAGTTACATTCACTTACCCTTAATTGGAGAATTTGGCATGAAGAGGATGATGTATTTAGCATTAACCATGTATTGACCAGTGAGAGAACTAAACTTATGAATACTTGCCTCAGGATTTGTAGTTTAGAGTATGGATTTCCTAGTCCGAGAAGGAGTTGACTCACTCCTGAATCTTGCAGGTCATTGTTACTGAGGTCCAGCTCTTTCAGAGAGGATGAAATTGAGTTGAGGGCAGAGACCAGTTCTGCACAGCTGTTTTGGGTGAAATAACATCTGGCTAACCTGAAAATGCAATTACAGTCAGTGAAAATTTCAAGAATATAACTTGACTGAGTTTAGTTTGAAATTTAATTTACTAAATACAACAATGACCTCAGTATCTCCAGGTAACAGTATGAGCTCTTGAGTCCATCAGAAAGCAGCTTAGCTGCTGTTTCAAGTCTGTAGTTATCACTGAGGTCCAGCTCTCTCAGGGGGCAGTTTTCTGATTGCAGAGCTGCAGATACACATTCACAGCAACTCTCAGTAAGTTCACAGCCAGCAAACCTGTAATGACAGTGTGCAAAAAGTCACAATTAAATTTTTGTCATGGTCTAATGCCATGTTTACATGTTGGCAATGGGCAGTTTATACAAAAACTGATACTCTGTTGTTTTCAATGGAGGAGTCATACATTTTTTGGTGCTGTCAGTGGCAATGGCAGTGTATTACAGAGGTCATCAAGGGTTCAAATTTCCCAGCTTTTGCTTTTGAGGATGGAATAAACCAGATTGTTTGTTTGGGAGCCATGGACCCTGCATATCTCCTTGTCGAAGCACAGTATTACACAATAAAACTACAGAACATTTTTACATTTGATATAAACAATCAACACTGCTAAAGCTTTCATTGGACAAGCACCCATTTTTGCTGGTGAGCACAATGTTGTCACCATGCCAATGTTTGCATGGCTGTATGACACAATTGGTTGTTTACTGCTAGAAAGCAAGGAATTGTTTTTTTTTACAACAACAACATGTACACACATATGAACTGAAGTGGTAGGACATGCTAAAACTCACAATGCTTTTTTGCAGCATCTCACAGCCGGGATCAGTCTCCTGCAAGCTGCATTTGATGTATTGTAGTTCTTTGGATTGAGTTCATCCAGCACCTCCTCAGACATCAAGAGCATGTAGGCCAGAGCTGAGCAGTTGGATGAGGAGAGATGTTTGTCTGGAAGTGCTTCAGCACTCAGACGTTTCTTGATCTGGTTGTAAAGGGAGCTGTCTTTTAGTTCAACCAAGCAGAAGAAGTGATTGATGGATTTCTCAGGTGACAGATCTGGACCCTTGTTCTGCATTTGCCGGATGTGCTGTATTACTTTACTGATGCTCTTTTTGGTGTTCTCTGTGTGTGGCAACAGGCCTGCCAGGAGGTTCTGATTGGACTCATGTGAGATGCCCAGCAGAAAACGCAGAAAAAGATCTAAATGTCCTTTCTCACTCTCTTTGGCTTTGTCAATTGCCTTCTTCAATAAGAGATCCAGCTGAATGTTAGCAGGAGGTCGATCAAAGAAAAACTGCAAATCATTAATGCTCTTGTTCAGGTAAGAGTAGAACACATGAAGAGCAGCAAGGAACTCTTGAAGACTCAAATGTATAAAGCAGTAAACCTTTTTCTCGTGAAGTACAGACTCCTGTTTGAAGATCTCAGCACACATTCCAGTATATTCAGAGTCTTCGGTGACATCAATACCACACTCCCTCAGGTCACTTTCGTAAAACATAATGTTTTCCTTTTTCAGCTGTTCAAATGCCAGCTTGGCTAACTTCAGGATCAGTCCTTTGTTTGATCCCATAAGTTTCGTCAGATCTCGCTCAACCTTCTTGTCGTACTTCTGGTTCTTCATGTTCATCTGTATAAGCAGAAAGTGGATGTACATTTCAGTTAGTGTGCTGGGAATGTCCTCTCCTGGATTTTGGACCGGCATGTCCTGAAGCACAGTAGCCGTGATCCAGCAGAAGACCGGAATATGGCACATGATGTAGAGGCTTCGAGAGACCTTAATGTGGGAGATGATTTTTGAGGCTTTAGTTTCATCTGGTATTCTCTTCATGAAGTACTCTACTTTCTGCTTATCAGTGAACCCTCGTACTTCTGTGAACATGCTCACATGCTCTGAAGGGATTTGGTGGGCTGCTGCTGGTCGGGAGGTTATCCAGATCAAGGAGGTTCGAAGCAAATTTCCTTTGATGAGGTTTGTTATCAACAAATCCACAGATGCTTTCTTATGAATACTTGTCACAATCCTGCTGCTGAAATCCAATGGAAGTCGACTTTCATCAAGCCCGTCAAAAATGAACGCAATCTTGAGATTTTCATATGTTTTGGTCTCTTTCACTTCTTCTAGTTCAGGGTGGAATTCCAGCAACAATTCATGAAGACTGAACTCTGAATCTTTTATCAAGTTAATCTCTCGGAATGGAAGCAGGAACATGCAGTCTATGTGCTGGTTGGCCTCTTCCTCTGCCCAATCAAGAATGAACTTATGAACGGATACTGTTTTTCCAATGCCAGCAATGCCTTTGGTCAACACTGTTTTGTTGTGGTCTGTGTTTTTCCAGGCTGAACTGAAAATCTGATTGCAGCTTATTGCTGTCTCCTGAGTTTTGTGAACTCTGAAAGCTTTGTCTTTCATAATTTTTAGAATCTCATGTTCATTATTGACTTTGTTAAGTTCTCCTTCTGTGATGAAGAGCTGTGTGTAAACCTTCTTTAGCTGTATTTTATTTTTTGCATCCTTCTTTCCCTCAAAAATACATTCAGTTTTCCTCTTCATGCTGGCTTTGTGACTCTCCAGGAATTTCTGCAGAATTGATTCATCTGTTTGGTACAGACAAAAGCAGTGTAAACAAATAATAAACAAGCATATTTTCTTCATTTATAAACATCAAAAACACTAAATTCAGATCTGTAGGTAACAAAATAGAAGCCTGCAGGAACTATCAAGATAGTCCTCATCACAAACCACAGTGAAGCTAGTGCCTTTTTCAAAGAAACTATTAAATAGAGATGACACAATACCAATTTTTCTTTTCTAATAGCAATACTCAAAACTTGAGTATTGTCCAATAATGGGATTTTTTTCCTTTAAAACTCTAAACTTTAAAAATAGCTAATTGAAGCACTTCACAGTTTGATCATTTTTCACAGGTAGGCAAAGGTAGTGTTAGAAGTCCTTGAAGAGTTCTTGCCCAAGAACTCTTATTGGTATAGTGTAGGGTGCTTGCCTAGGCAGTGAACCCCAGACTACAGTGTAGAAAGCAGATGTGTTAACCACTACACTATACCAACCACTTTACTACCCCACACAATGAACTACACAGCTACTCAGGATAAATTTTTAACAGAACTGGATCACAGTTATTCTTTTCTTCCCCTCCAATATCTGATCCAACACTTTCTACTGATATCAGCCTTATCCAGGGACCTTGTATTGGATCAAGGCCATCTCAGTTGATAAAATATGTGTTGTTTTAGCAAACGCATATGGGTAAGATTTCTCAGGGAGACAAAGACAATGTATTTTAGGCAAAACTTTGGGTTCAGTTTTAGAATCAGTATGACAAACATGATCATAATACCTGTGTTTATCCTTGCTCCTTCTGCTCCTCCATGTTCTGAAAAATTAATCACAATGACAAGAATCAAGGCTGAGAGATAGACAACAGGAAAAGCAGGCAAAATGTGCACAAACCAAGTGCTGAGGATCATTGTCTGACACATCTGTATTCAGAACAGCTCCTGCATGAAGCCACTGAGTGGTGCTTTTGCTTAACTAATCTCCACTGAACAAAGTACTCCTATCTAGTTTTGTGCCAAACAATTATTTTGTTGATGGATCAGGCCTGTCACAAACATTAAATTCCAACTGATCACTGTCATATAAATAATCGTGATTAAAAATGTAATGGTCTTTTTTTGTTAATTGTGTGCAACTGTTAGGCCTATAGTGGACAACGTGGCTCATCAGATAACTTGCTGCCAAGCTGTCGATAATATAGCCCAACTAAGGCAGCTGAAGTGCACATAAACAATCATTACTCACCACTGCCCTCTAAAGGCATTTATAACTTTCCCTATTTTCGTTAGACCCATAAAATATCTCAATATATGCATTTTTTGTTTTCTCTTAAATAACATACACACATCTAATTCACACTCGTATTTTTTGTAGTGTAAACATATGATTGTGAAAGCTAACAAGTGCGGAAAATAACTGAACATATCAAATAATTGCAATCAGGTGATTATTTAATAATGTGACAGGCCTAATATGGATTGTGTCCTATGTCCTTTTATGGATACAGCAAGATTAACATACCTTTTCCAGAATTGGTGTTGAAGTTGAAAACACATTGGCCATGGATGATGTTCTTACTGACTGTAGGTGCAAATACAGTGCTGCTGTTATTAGCACTTGCAACAACAGAGCAGCCATCAGGACGAACTACAGTGGGAGTTGGAGCTGTCTGTGCTGAAGTAGGATGTACATCTGGATGATCTGGATACTGATGGTTATCTGTTATAGGTGTCAGTGTCTTGTTAGCATCTGGAGAACAGAGACAAATCTTGCACTTTTTTTGGAAATTATACTCCATCCATGTCACCATATTTATTGATTATTTAGGACATAATAAAGCCCTGTGTTACCTTTAAAGTGCTGATGGTTTGTGGGCTGCGTTCTTCTTCTCCAGAACCAAATGGACAGAACAATCACCAGAAAAGCCAGCAGAAGCTCTGGGCAAACTGCTGTCTCTGAGAAAAGAGAGAGGAAAAATATTATTTAAACACACAGTTACTCTTTACTAGCTGAATTTAACATATTGGGAAAAAAATAAAACATGAAAATAAAATAAACAAACATAAATAAATATATATTAATTAATATAAGCTAATAAGTATCATGCACTAGAATTTGCAGAAAAGTGCCATATTTAGGTTTGTTTTCTGTAGAGGATGTGTTAATATATTTTCACTTAGAAAATCAGCAAAACATGCAGTTTGACCAGAAGTGTTAAAACCATTGCATGCAACTGAATTGGTTAAATCTGACCAGCTGTCTGATGCTGACATTTTTAAAGCAATTATTTTTTGTTGATTTTTAAATTAATCATTTTCTCTTTTATATGTATTGTTTTAATCATGTTTTCACCTTGTTTTTAATTTCTATTCTCCTTTACTTTTTTTTTTAAACAACTTTGAATGACAGCAGTATATGAAAGGTGCTATATAAATAAACTTGTCTTGCTGATACTGACATGAATTTGAATGTGCATCCTTAGACACCATATTTCTTTCTATCATGGATATGATCAGTACCTAAAACTGACTCCATTACAAGAAGAGCATAATTAGTCCTCTTTCATTGGATTTAGTGTAGTGCACTATGTAAAATGCTGAAAAATCCTTTTACCTACATCGTATTTTTTAAATGTAGTGCTAATGGGGACCCTCAGAACATAAGATATCATGATTCGCACTGTGCAAGCAGAAGATGTCGCCGCGTCGGTTAAAGGAAAGTCCCATAAGAGCCGGAAAAAGAAACACTGAGAGGAAACTAGACTCAAGAGGGCTGCTCATCCCCCTCTAGTCTGGACCGGATGCTGGTTAATAATTACAATGGTAGTTGCATGGTGCACAGCATTGTTGCTGGAGTTTGTACACACATCAATGTCACTGCTAGGTTGATTGTGATCCACCACCCAAAAATATCCAGCCATTCATGACCACTAATAAAGGGCTAGTGGGTAGCCAACAAACTTTGCATCAACACATAGGCTACAGTCTCTAACTGTGCAACTGTGCACGTATGTAAAGGCTAAAGTCTGCTGCTGCTCTGGTATCATGATCTACTTTGATAACGTTGCCTTGAGCCTTATTCAGGTCATGCAGTATTGCATAATAGCTTCTTCTGCACTTCTCCAGATCTCTGGTGAGGCCACATAAACATTCTCTGACAGGTTCACACAAAGGAGCAACACCAGTAAATTACACCATGTGATCACAGGCGCTGAGCAGCACTGCAGTTGATTTTAAAATGTACTTAACAGTGACTCATAGTTTACTGAATTACTGAAGTTAAACAGCAGCGCACGCAGCCAGCTCCTTGTTATCTTGGTATATCACTTACATACCAAGATAATAAGATGATGCTGCAGCCGAAGCAAAAGCACCCAATAGAGTCTCGCTAGGTTATACAGGGCATGAGGTGGAGACGTTCAAAAGAAACCCCAGCTGTAGGCTGATCCACTTCATCTGTGCAGTTTTCTTCCCTCTACTACAGTTCTGTGTACTCACCGTATGAAAGCATCCTCCTGAGTGACTACATTCCAGAGAACCAGTGAGTTCACAACGTTCTGCAGACCTTGAGAAACTTCTGAAACTTCCTCATGCTCTTCCTGAGACCTCATAAAGAGTGCTTTCACTTTAGAGGCTCAGACGTCAGAGGGCGTTTTCACACTCTGACCGTTTACTGTGGTTAAGCAAGCTGCCTTTCGCCAAAACACAGTTAAACTAGCTGCAGGTAACCTTGGAGCTCTAATACTTCACACTTAGCGGTAAACAGCGGTAAAAATTGTTCGTATTTCAACTCTGAACTGATATCTGTTGCTTTTATGGACTACTTATTAGAAATCACTGTAGAGAATGTGCTGTAGATGGTCCTATATAGAATCTTTTTGAACATGGCTCTATATAGCACCAATAAGGGTTCTTGACACTGTAACAATAGCAGAACCCTTCCTGGTACTATATAGAACTCTTTTCTGGTTATTTGGTTCCCTTTCCTGTGATTTTTGTCCACAGCATCTTAGGATCCTATAATTTAAGACAAAACAAATTCTTGGATCCTAAGATGCTGATTTGATATGATTTGACATCTTGTTTATCCTAAGATGCCAAATTATGTGTGTGTGTGTGTGCGTGTGTGTGTCTGTGTGTCTGTGGTCAGTGAGTGGATTATGAAAGGAAGTAACTGCTGTGTTCTTAATACATGTATTCTGCAAATAATCCCAGAGCAACTCTCTGCGACCAGGATGCGGCCAGTCTGCAGGCATGGACTAACCCAAAGACTTCCCATATCAGTCCAATGGCAGCAAGACAACCACAACATCCTCACCACAGTTCCTCATTTGACTTCATCAGTCCACAGAACATACTTACACTTAAAAAGATGCTTCTTCAAGGGTTATTCAGTAAAGAAACCATTTACTTATGCACACAGTTCTTTGAGTGTTCATGGTTCTATATAGAACCTTTTTCTTTAATGAAGAACCCTTAAGGAACCATCTTTTTTAAGAGTGTAAGTGAACTTTTAAGGGGACTCAATCTGAAGAGCCATTTAAGCATGCAAATGATTCTATATAGAACTTGTGGGTCTATATAGAACCTTACTGAAGATCTCTTGAAGAACCGTCTTTTTAAGCCTGTACCTATTCTACTGTTACTTAATTTTCAAAGTAAAAATGAATAAGATCCCATATGGAAAAAAAATATATGGACATGTATTTTTATATATTTGAAATACATTTTAAATGCATTGCAGTCCAAACTAAAATAATAATAATAATAATAAATTCATTTATTTTAAAATGTATGGGGAAATATTACACACAGAAATGTACCATACAAAAATAAATGTGTGTAAATGTGTTTATCAAATCCATCTGAAAATGTATGAAAACAGCCAGAATCTTGTCTAATGCACTTCACTGTCTGATACCTTCAGGCTCAATCCCATTTCACCCCTCGCCCCTACCACTGAGACCTTAGCCCTCTGTTTTGCGTGTTCTCGTCTAGGGGTAGGGTGTCCGAATTGTTGTTGAGATAGAGGGGAAGGGCGAAGTGTTTGGGCTACATCGCCCTTCAAACAGGTTTTTCAGAGACTCCAAACAGAGAGTTATGAGGAAAAAAAAAAAACGGCAAGATGGCTGAACAAGGGACCAAATATATACTACAAATGTGAGAATTTTCTTCATTAAAAAATGTATCTTAGTTTAATGTCGTTTCAGTGTATTATGGTCGTTTTCTTTGTAACAAGCATAAAAAATCGCTAATACCATGCTGATGTATCAGTACCTAGCTAACTAACTTTCCCGTTCCACCTTAAATAGTCCAGCAGTTCTGACGCCTGAAGCACCAGAATGTAACTGCTGCTCCATTTAAGGTGGAACGGGAAAATTCAAACAAGAAGGTGCTGAATATCTGACTTCAGCTTCATGTCACTGAAGAATTAGAAGTGGGTGATAATAAATAATTGCCCCCCTCTTTGAAGGCATGTGATACCCTAACTGTAACTAAAGCCCAGCAGTGAGGTTGCTGAACTTTACCCTCCTCTGCTATCACTGCAGACTGGCAGGGTCGCCTACAGAGCAGTGCTAGTAGCTGTTAATGAAGTGATGCTCTTTTTATTTGAGGGTGTCATATCATAGAGGAAGATTTCAACCACTACGCTGTAACTCAGTTCCAACGGGTTAGGGTGACACTCAAAAACAAAGGGTAGGGGTAAAAAGAAGAAATGGGACTGGGCCTTAGAAATGAAATTGTATTCCAGTATTTTCATTTTAAATATGATCAAATGAACCTTTAACATGACAGAAGCGAGTGTTGTGGGTATTGATACTCTGTGAAAATGCAGTTATGATTTGATATCTTGTTTATGTGAAGTACATTGTGTGTGAGAGTCTGACTGCAGACGTACATGGTTAATTTAAAGTACAATGCAGATCACAGTAGTCAGTACCGTTTACATACATCTGTAACCTTCATTACACACAGCTGAACACAGATAATAACTAATACTAATAAATGCGTTTTAAAAGTATATTTAACAAATACATTTTTGGCCATTTTCATACCTCAGATAGCAGCATATATGGGTCCACTGGCTTGATAAATTTGGCACCCTGCTGACTGTTTGCCTGCTGGTCCACCATCGGACCACCCAGATTACTGCCCTGCATACAAACTCTAACTAGTTTTTAACCTCCTTAAACATGTTTAAAATAAGGATATTTTTTTTCTAAAATAAAAGGCTAAGACAAGTATTATAAACTGAGAAAAAAATGACTGGGCCTAATACAAAATGATTTTATAGAAAATGTTGTTGACACTGCACTAGATTAACATTATTTACTAAACAAATTTACAAAGTATATCTAAAGAAAGGAAGGAAGGAAATATCAGTAAACTGGACTGTGAGTGGAAAATGAGCAATGAAAAGTGGAATTTTGTCTAATACTCTGTTTAACTACCGGTGGGCTGCCAGGAAAACGCTGACAAAACGCCAGTGGACCACCAGCTTTGCCATCGGCGGGCCAACTGTGGCCCATTATCCTCTTGCTATAAGGGATACACTGCAAAAAAATATTTAATAAATATATTTGGAATGCATTTTTTCCATATGGGATGAATTATGAAGGCCTCCTTATTCTAGACAAATATAAATATAAAGTATACATAAATATAAAGTATACATTTGTACCAGTAATCATTGAGTTTTTCTTGTTTTTTGTTTTCGGGTTTGACGATGCATTTCCACGGATTCGCCAGCAGATGTCGCCATTCATTCATTCAATTAAGCTTCAGAAAGAATAACCTTCAGAGATCGTTTCTCAGAGATGTCCTGCGGCCACTGGCCTCTCCACGGTGGACATCTCGAACCCGCAGGGTCTTGAATCAGCTGAGGAAGCTGATTTAGAGGGTAAATTAAAGTGGAAAGAACGGCTTGAGTTCCAGGCAGAGGTCAGTTTTGGTTCTGTCTGTGTAGATTAAGTGTAATTGAAACCATAAAGTGTTTCTGTTGGTTCTTGATGGTTTTGGCGTTTTTATTGGGTTGATATCGCAGTGTAGAGGATCCTAATGGTTTAACAGGTGACCAGTGGCTGACTCTAAATGCATCTGATGGTTTATTAATGAGATTTAAAGCATTCCTAATACAGTAGGAAGGATTATTAGGTTTAATAAATGTTTAATTTACAATTTCCGCCCGTTTATTCGGACAAATCACGGACAGTTCAGATTAAATACTTTCGGTTTACGGTGTTTACCTCGCTCTGTTTGGAGCGCGTCTCCATGGAAACGGCGCGTTTTCAGGAGCCAATCAGAAGGCGAGCTGAGAACGCGTTACAGCTAACTAACTAGCATTTAGCTCACTCGCAGCTGAGAAGGAGGGCTGCCGGTTTGAGGATGGACAGAAACCGGATAAATGGATTCACTGCACATTTAAACAGAGAAGAGGGGCTTTTAAACGAGTCTCAGGAGAGTCAGAGCAGCCGTGAACGAGGCCAGTCAGGTCAGCTAGCCCGCTATTTATTTAATGGGATTTATCTAATAGTTATAATAGTCCTTTTTTAGCAGGGTACTAAAAGACAAGGATTCAGTCTTGTTTAATCTGGAAGATTCTATATCAGTATTCTATCCCCTGTGTACCTGCATCTCATTTATTATCTACCTCAGACTAACTGCACATACAGAATGTGTACAACAGCACATTTGATGGTTTTATTTCATAACTTGTTACTGTACAACTGTACATTGGAATAGTGCAATACTAGTGTATATTGTGTATATGTGTATATTCAGAATCGGTGTGTATATATATAAAAAGAAATATATTTCTTTTTTTTCTTAGATATTTATATATTTTTTTGTATTTAAATTCTATAAGGGGGCTACGCACCTAAGATTTTCACTCACTTTCCAACTGTGCAAATGTGATGTGACAATAAACGTGATTCGATTTTTTGAAAAGGTTCTTTACAGAACTGCCTACAGCAGATTCATGCATGTTTTTCATCACTCTGAAAAACTTTTTCATAATGCAAAGGACCCCTTTATCGTGCAAAGGGTTCTTTGACTGTTCATGGTTCTATATAGAACAAATTTGTTTTTATCAAAGAACCCTTGAAACACTATCTCTTTAAAGAGTGTAATAAGTTATGCTTAAAGTAAGTTGTTAATTACTTGAGTGTTAAACCAGTTTCAGGAATGTCCTGCACTAAGTTGGTGGCCACTGACCTCTCCATGGTGGACATCTCAAACCTGGAGGGTCTCCAGACTGAACTGGCTCAGCTGAGGACGCTGGTAGCGACGTTAGAGGATAGATTAAATTGGAAGGAGCAGGGCGAGTCTCAGAGAGAGGTCAGTGTTAGTTCTGTCTGTACAGATCTTTTTGAAGGGCAGGTCAGTCTTTATGCCAAAAGATTCCCTTTTAAAGGAACAGCTTTGGGTTTCTGTTACAAAATGTACCTTTTCCCAGTATTTATAGGCTTTAAAGAGGGTGTTGTTGGTTTTGTTAAATTTGTGCTTCTAGGGAAGCGGTCAATCAGCATCGCCCTCTACTGTTTATGTTCAGAATGTAGGTTAATTGGAGGTGCAGGTTGTACAGCAGCTTGCAGAGTCCAATTT